ATTCCTTTTTCAGGGGTTGTGGTTGTAACAATTATATATTTATAACCCAATTTAAAACAAAATAAATCTTTAGAATGGAAAAACCTGTTTACGGTCTCTCCCAGTCCCGTGCTAATGCTAACCACACTACATGCTAACGACGATATTAGCTTCCATGTAAATTCCTGATTGTAAACACATGTCTTCCTTCATAACCCGCCCCCCGTCACCATCACCGTCTCTGGATCTCGGTGTAATTTGCGCGGCGTCCGTCCCCCCGCGTTCATTTACAGAGTTATTATTTTGTCATGTCGTATAAATTGGTAACATGACATAACTTGTTTGCCGCCTTGTTGCACTGCAGTGTCTGATTATGAGGTCAACGGCGTCCAATGACAAATGAGATGAGCTGTTCACGAGGAGTGTACTGCAGAAATACTGCACAGGAATTTGGAAGTGGAGTTATAAGTAGTGGTAAAGTATAAACGGCAAAATGGAAGGAAAAAAAAGACCTTCATAGATTAAAGGAGACACTTGCTTGTCTCTGTGGATGTGTTTTTTTCCTGAATATTCCACAGTGTGACATTAAACCTCTCACCTATCTTGCATTTATCCAATACCTTATTTATATATTGCTGAATTTATTTTTTTATTTAATATGCACTGTCCCTATTAAATAAATAATGAACATCTACAACATTGCAGTGTAAATATGACAGATTATAGCAAGAACGCTCATGTCCATCTGTCGTCCCTCGGCAGGTAACACCACAAACTTAACAGAAAAAATAACAAAAACAAGTAACAGATATAAACTAAAAGTGTCCACAAGTCTGGTTTTCCTTTAGCCGCTGTTTCAAGTGGGATTTGAAGGTGGCAAGTGTTGGAGTTTGTCTTATTGATAGTGACAGACTGTTCCAAAATGTAGAGCCTCTGACTGAGACACACTTTGTCTGAATGTTGTGTGTCTGTGAGGAGCTCACGGTTCCTCCGGGCTGTGGCTCTAGTTCCCTCTGACGGTCTTTACTTTAATAAAATCGTGTAACGGAGGAGGGCAAGTCCATACAAAACTTTACAGATAAAACATCCATATTTAAAATCAACAAAATTATTAAAAGTAAGCAGATTATACTTATCTAAAATAGAAATAAAATGCCTTGAATAATACACATTTTTACTGTGAGTAAGGAGATTCAGAAATCCTTTAATGTAAGAAAGATTGAATTGTTTGTGTAGATAAACTTGTTCTCTGTGTTGGATTTGAATTTGGATATGCTGCTGAAGAAATGTTCTCATGATGTTAAATGTTCTCTGTTCAGAGCCGGTTGTACTCCACTGTACAATGCTCCTTTGTGGTGGAATTATGGGACCTTCTGCTAGATCACTGTGACCTACAATGATGCCTTTAGGCTTCTGCTGCAGGTGTCCAGGTGGCACAGTGGCCGTCAGATGTTTGTGGACACTCACATCCAAACTGAGGCGCTGCTTCATCATTTAATGTACACATTTATTTGTTTGTTTATTTGCCTGGAGGTGTCTGAAAACTCCATCATAAAGACTTGGACCAATCCTTGACCAGATTTTCAAACTTCTGAACTGGGACACACCCCAGTTGGGATGGTTGGTATCCGGGTTCCCACGGACATGGAAATCCTGGAAAAGTCATGGGAACTGAAAATACCACTTCATGAAAGTTTTGGAAAAGTCATGGAATTTAGTATCTTTTTCACACAGCTCCAGTGTTCTGTGAAGTTCTCATGAGTTTATTCTGATTATTTGTGAACATCTGTGCCTTTTGTTTAAAAGAGATGACAATAAATGCACTGACAGGATTTTGAATGTTCAAAAACTATAATCCCAGACGTGGAAAGAGTTCACATTTCATATTTAGCCCTAAAAGTCTGATCAATTCTACACATGTAGGTGCTGTAAAGTCCTGGAAAAATCACTTTAGGTCATGATTTTGTCATTGAAAAAGAGTGGTATAACCCTGTGGTATAAATACAATTGTGAAGAGACAGCGTGTAACATTGTGCATTCTCATGTCAGTCATGATCTGAGAGATTTCTGTGGCTGCATTTATTTTTACTTTATGGCCATTCACAAACACGTTTCTTGGTATTTTGGCAAAACAAATGACAAATGTATGTTCCTCTTTACTGTTGGCAGGGATCAGATCAAAAATTGTGACAATCCTGTTTTAGTCCTGGTTTAGACCTGATGTAGTCCCAGTTTAGACTTAGTTTAGTCCTGGTTTAGATCAGATTTGTCAAAAATAGAGTCACCTGAGAAATTTCTTGTATAAAACTGGGACAAATCAGTGGTTTTGTATAAATCTACTGGGACAGGGGACACAGGCTCAAAACTGGGACTGTCCCGGGGAAAAACTCTACGTTCCATCTCTGCTCTGAGAAAGCACTGGGCTCCACACTTCTTAATGATCTTTATACACTAATTTGGGTGCTTTGTATGTTTTTTTTGTATCCAGTTTTTCTTTTAAACTATGGACTGAATAATATTTGTGTCTGTAATAAAGAATAATAATTAGTTCACACATGGGGAGAAAATGCAAACTCCACACAGTCCCAGAGTCCAACTTATGACCTTGTTGTTGTGAGGTGAGAGAGCTAACATATGCTAAGCTATCTACGCTCATTTATAGCCAGCAAAACGTCCAACTGGCTTGAACAGAGCAAACTGACAATCCCTTTGATACTGTTTACTAGATTGGTGCCAAAAGTGAATAATTGGTTTATTCTTTGCAAGAAAAGTGAAAAAATATAGGCTATTTTTAAAATATTGACTCAAATGAAAAAGCCGTTTGTAATTTGTGTTTATAAATCCAATTAAATTTAGTTTAATTGTCAGCATAATTAGAGTTACAAAGTATTAAACATGGTCAGTGGGACGGACAGTGTTCATTTGGGATGTTTTTGTTGGCCCATTGTTTTTGAGCAGAATGTGTTTCTATAAACAGGTCTTGATGTCAAAATAAGTCTGCAGTTTTACTGTCTAAGAATGATAAAGTGCAAAGTTAGCATGCTAGTTGTTAGCATTCCTGTGATGGTATAATGCAGCTCTGGTGTCTGAAAATAGTGAAAAGTGCTTATAAACTGATAAAACATAGGTTCAAGGTTCTTTATTTGTCATTCAAGAGTGTGACAGAAACACAAAACAGAACGAAACTTGTTCCTCGAGGTCGAGTGATTAAAAGAGATAACAATAACAATAATAAATTAAAGCCGCGCGCGGCGATGGTGGCCCTCGCCCCGGGCGCGCACCGCCCCCCCCACGCGACCTCCGGGGACTCGCGACCGCCCCGGCACGCCACCCTCTCTTCCCTACATCCGCCCAGGTCGACAGCTCGTCCATTAGACACATTAAATAATGCACCTTTAAATGTTTCAGAGGAGTCATTGCGCCCCTACTGGCCAACCATGAAAAAATGCCCAATATCCGTAATATACTGTTTTTGTTTACAATCATGCATAGAATTTAATCCCCGACTTTGGTACAAATCCGACAATGTTGACGTTTCATGTCAATGCTAGGGGGCGCTATAGTGTTCACATTTCATATGTTTTATAGTGTATTATAATCAGGTCGAAATCAGGCATGAGTGATTCAAATTTCAGCACGATCGGACTAAGCCTGTGTGTGTAATTATTTTTTAACTATTTTTTGGGGGGTAGTCTTTGCGCCCCTGCTGACCAACCGTAAAAAATGACTTTTTTGCTTGTAAACATGCATAGAATTTAATTCTCGAATTTGGTCCAAATCCGATAATGTTGATGTTTCACGTCTATGCTAGGGGGCGCTATAGAGTTCACTTTTATTAAATTTCATATTTCATCACATTCAGGCCTGGATCACGCAATTGTGATTTGAATTTGAGTTCTCTAGGACAATGCCTGTGGCCGTGACAGGTCACAGAAAAAGCAGGAAATGAAGGCGTTATTCGCCGGCGTGCTACGGGCGAACTGTAAGGAGTATCCCAAAAAAATTTGGCAACTTCTGTGAGTTCATGTCTGTAGATGTGACATGTCAAATTTGAGCTAATTTGGACCAAACCCCGGGGACTTGAATCTTTTTGTAGACCCCCAAGTCAAAACGGCGGCGAATGTTTGATCCAATATGGCCGACTTCCTGTTCGTCATAGGGGTGCAGAATGATTGACTTTTTTGCTTGTAATCATGCGTAGAATTTAATTTAACATTTACAGTGAATTTTTACATCACTAAATATATCGGTGATTATATCGGCAGCGCCAACTCCCATTATATCGGTTTCATATCGGCCACAGCAAAATCCATATCGGTCGGGCTCTAGTTTGTAATCCACTTTTTATGGCGTTGTTCTGTCAGCTTTTCCCATTTCTGACCTTTGTGGACGACTATCTTCGGTACTCTAAAAAAATCGCTTTTCCTTCTCTCGGTTAGAACAATTGGCACAGCCGTAAACTGCACAACACATCGGCATTTCCCTCCAGTCGGTTCACTTCTTGCCCTCCATCTGATTTTGCGTGCTGACAAACGTCGCCCTGTAATGTCACGTGAAACCCAGATATTCAGAATTATTATTTCCATGTAAACTCCAAGGAAAATATTTTAAGTCCAAACAATTTAATCCAGAACAATTAAAAACATCATGTGAACGTGGCCATTGTGTTCTAACAGTGAGTTTTTTAATCATTTCAATACCAGGTTTAACATTTGTGCGTTTACCTTTTGGATATTTCGTGGCAAAGTACAGTGTGATAAAGAGTAGAGGGGTGTGCAAAAATATTGAAATATCGATATATCGTATCGTTTAATGTGATGACACAGTATCGATATTTGTGGGCTGCTCTATCGATATATCACCAAGAGTATTTTTGGTTTATTTTACTAAATGATTTTGTTACAGCTACAGTTTCGTTGTTTGTTTAGTGGAAGGAAACTCGTTTGACATTTTCGCTGTTTTGAGGATTAAAATGTTTGTGTTTCATATGAACTTTGCACAAGAAGTGGTTTAAACAAAGATTTTCCATGATTTAGCCTTTATTTTTTACTGAACCGTATCGAATCGAAAGCGCACTGTATCGAGGTTTGTCTCATATCAGTGACTTCTTAACAACACTCGGCCTCAGTCAACAGGGAAACGTGGCTCTTGCCCCGTCTGGGAGTATGACATCATCACATTCTAGAACCTGAAAACCTCCCAGTTCCATCAGGTTCACGGCGCCGATGACATCATACATGTAAAGTTCCATAAAGCCTTGTTACCATGGCAACTCCGGAACTCAAAGCTAAACTTCAAAGCTTTGTGGGCTTTAACTCAAAGCTTTGTTTGGCCTCGGGGAGATTATAAGAGTAGGCAAATCGCAAATCACAAATCGAAAATCACATATCGCTTAACGGAAAAGGCACATTTAGCTGAGCTTGACACAGAGCAAATCGTACAAAGATTTCAAACAGTAGACTTCACAGAGGAGACTTTACAGAGGAGATTTCACAGAGTAGGTCGCACTTTTTATCTGCGTAACAGTAAGTACAGCGGTTTGGGGACTTTTCGTCCATGTTCAGGGGGTCAAAAATGCGATCGTTTGGTCGGAAAAGGGAATTAAAAAAAAAGAAACCGACGAAGAACAATACCCCTCGCCCCTAACTTTGTTAGGTTAGGGGCGAGGGCCAATTATTTAAACGCTGTTTGCAGTGGTCTGTGTACTTAAATACTGCACACTGTTACCAAAGTCCAGTAAACTGAAGACTAAAGAAAAACTGAACATGCAGATTAATACATGACTAGATTGTAAAGACAGAAGCTCTAGAAAATACTACATAAAATACTTCTGTAGTGAAAACCTGTGTGAACCATGCTTTCATTGAGAGACTTTGAGGACCAAGTCAGACACAGTTTACTGTAGATACCAGTTACTAAAACGCATGGATTTGTAAATCATGCAGAAACAGTGTGATACTGGTCCTACAGGCCTCTGACTCCCTCACATTACACCTCTAAAAGTTTGGTAGCATTGTCAGACCATTCTCTGGATGATGATTAGATAAGTTTATAAATCTGATGACTGTGTTTGTATTTTATGTGTTTTCAAACATTTTGAATTGTTTTGTGCACAAGTGCAAAAAGATTTGACAGATTTATAAAAAAGTTTTAAAAAATGAAATAAGCAATTGAAAAATTGCAACAAACTGCATGACATGAACTTGTTTTATTCTTCAGACACGACGAGTTACAGCAATACCTAAAGCTGAAAACATGCCTCGGGAGAACAGAGGTAGGTTTTGCTATGCTAACTATGGTATTTATGGCTGGATTTTTGTTTTACTTTTCAGTGATATTTTATGTTATTAGGTTCTTTTTTCAGACCAAACTTGACAGTTTTGGCTGCTCAGCAGTGGTCTTCCTCAGAGTAGTTTCCAGTACTGTCTATTGAAAAAAAGAGGACAGATATGGTAACATTACTGTACATAAGGAGCTTAACAGAAAAAGTGCAAAGGGCAATGGGAAAACACAATATCAACACACCAGTGAAACCATACAAAAAACTCAGGCAATTGCTCGTCTACCCAAAAGATAAAATAGAACCGGAGTATAAATGTAATGTCATATACGAAATACCCTGCATGTCCTGCAATAAAACATACATTGGGGAAACAGGGAGCGCATTCAATACACGAAAAAAGGAACACAGGACAGAATGCGAAAAGGAAACAGCAAAGGAAGGTAGGAAGACAGCGCCAAAACCTGTATAAATCAGCTGTCCGGACACGTCAAAGCAACATCACTTGACCACTCTGAGGAAGACCGCTAGTGAGCAGTTGAAACTGTCAATTATGAAAACAAACTCTTGGTCTGAAAAAAGAACCTAATAACATAAATTATTGGAAGACCAAATGAACCTCATTGGACTTTCAATGGTATTATTTAGCTGTATGGTCATAAATTTATTGTGTTTCCCCTCAGCTGCGGCTGTGGGAACAACCCGGGCCCGACCAAGTCAACACAGCCAAGTTTCAGAGCCTCCACCACCAGCGATAGCGCCACAATCCGCCTTCAATCAAACACTAATACAGCAGCAAAATGGTAACAGACATACTTTCAACTGAAATATAGTGGTTCTTGTATGCAATAAAAACAATTATGTATATTATGTATATTGTCTAGTTTTTAAAGACTACACTTATAGCCTTAATTGTATATAAAGTTGCATTAGAAAGAATCTGCTCTCATGTTTCATATTGTTTTCATGATGCTTGTCTCATTTGCTGGCTTATCCTCTACAGCTTGGAGGAAATCAAATTGTGTAAAAGAGGTTGAAAAACTTCAAGAAAAGCGTGAGAAGAGACGACTTCAGCAACAGGAACTCAGAGAAAAGAGGGCCCAAGTATGAGTTTGAGGAATGTCAACTTTCCTTTGTTTGTGTGGTTCAAATTATTTAACACTTTATTTTCCAGGAAGTAGATGTCAATTTACCCAACTATGAAATTATGTGCATGATCAGAGACTTCAGAGCCAGTCTGGACTACAGGCCCCTAACCTCCAATGATCAAGTAAGTCATATTAACATACAGTCCCTGACAAAAGTCTTG